AGTTTAATGCCATTAGTCGTAAATGAAATCTCGGACTACGCCTTAGAACGTGGAATGGAACTAAATTATAAGAAATGCAAACAAATGTTGATCAACTTTCTTAAATATAAAGGATCTGATGATGAAAACCCGATCTATGTTGCAGGTAAACCGGTGGAAACTGTGTCCTCTTTCAAACTCCTACTAGGTGTATGGATATCAAACGACTTGTCATGGAATACTCATGTCGACATGGTATTGAAAAAGGCAAATTCTCGCTTATACGCATTGCGTCTGTTAAAAAAGGCTGGTCTTCAAGCATCTGACATCGTCCAAATATATATCTCATTCATCAGATCCAGAATTGAATATGCATCCCCTGTATGGTCGTCAATACCTAAATCATTATCTGACATTCTCGAATCTGTTCAAAAGAGAGCATTGAGAATAGCTTATCCAGATCTGTTATATGATGAAGCCCTTGAAATTTCAAACTTACAGTATCTGAGTACTCGTAGAGACATCTCTTGCAAGAAATTCGTCGAATCTCTGCGACGTGATGTTTCACCCTACAACCCTTTGACCCAAATTATGGAAATTCGTCCCGGGGTAAAAACTCATGATTATGACTTAAGGAATGACAGAACGGCCGAACAACCTTTATGGTCAGAAACCACTGAACGGTTAAAAAACTTCGTGACTAGGAAATATTATTAGCTTTATAGTTAATTAACAGTCCTAACTAAATAAACATTATTTTATATAATATATATATATGTACATTTTAATATAAATTTTTATGCTATATTAGTACTCCATGTAATTCAGTTTTCCTTTAAAAACTGCAAATTGGTTTTAATTAAACAGATTGATTGATTGATTGATTGATTGATTTCTATGTCGTGTGCATAATATGGTGTGTTTCTATTAAGCGAATTATGATGTTTCGAAAAAATGATGTCCGAATTCTAAATTTGGAAGTTTCGTCCCTTTCATTATATTTAAGCTTGTTTTCCACTAGGCGGAATTTTGCGCGCGGAGCGGAATCTTTCTTTGTCTTTTCTAATTAGTTCCACCCGAGAAATCACAAGACAAAGAAAAATTCCGCTCCGCGCGCAAAATTCCGCCTAATGGAAAACCGGCTTTAGCTTGTAAACAATCTAGCGTAAGCGTGCGCGCCCGCAGTAATTTGGCGTGCGGTCAACGTGCAAGTTATATTACTTCATTTAACTTCAACCAATATAATATAGTAGTTATTTAATGATATTTTTGCCTTTTTTTGTGCTGCAAAAAATGTATTTTTTAAATAACAAGGTCAGTTCCTCAGCCCCCTGTGACAACACATCAAGAAACGAAATACGTGTTGCCCACACAACGCAAAATTCCCATTGGTCGAAATCGATACGCCTGTCAATCAAATCTGATATGTAGAATTATGCCATAAATAATTTCCAGACTGAATTTTGATTTTATAAATAAACATGAAATTAACGGTTCTTATTGTATATATATTTAATGGCCGAGCCGACGGCGCGAAGCGCCGTGCGAGGGTACTAATTCCCCCGGCTATTTACACCCGGGGAAACGAAAGCATTAGCGAAGTCTAAAGTTCACCAATGATCGCGGGCGTGGCTCACTGTGCGTGGGTGGTCATCCTCACTGATCTCAAAAATATGGTAGACTGTCATGAATAGCGAACACTGTGATTGGTCCAATTTAAAGTTTGCATTATAACGACTGCATGATGACAGCGAAATAGCAAACATTTCTTGATTTGGTGATTGATCAGTAAATTTCTTGCAAATATATTTAATTTTTGCTCGCATTTTTGCAAGATTTTGTAAATTTCAAGAAAGAAAGGGCGAAAGAATTGGCTAAAAGAAGGGAGCCAACGTTAACGAAGGTAAGTTTGTTTTAAATATTGATTTTATAATTGCTTTTAATAAAACCCGACGGCTTTAAATTTGCGTATATGAATGGTCATGAATATAACAACTAAACAAGACAGCATATAATTTCAGTGTATCTTTAATATTGATTCCCTTTTTTGTTATATTGATTTTATTTTATTATAAAGCAAAGTTATTTGCATGCGAGAATTTGAAATCATTAATTGCAAACTCAAAGTTTATCGATAAAGCTATTTAACTTTAAGGCAGTTTAGTTTTATAAAGAACACTTTAAAACGTTTTGCGAAGCGTTTCTGGTTGAATTTTACCTTAAATTGAAGCTTATATTACGTATAATATCATACCTAACATATATATGTTTTGGGAAATTGATAATTTTGTAATTAAAAGTGATATTTTTAGGCGATTTTTCATTTGTAAGAATATTCTTCAAAAATTATCGTGTTACCATGAAACTACTCTAGATACTTCATGTTCGGAAAATACAATGGTTTTATCAGCAAAGCGAGGGTTTCTGCATGCATGTATTTTCTAGTTGGATATAAGTAATGTTTATGCAAAGGCGGAGCCAACTTAACAAGAGCGACAAGTGCGCGTATTTCATTTCTTGATTATTGTCAGCGATCCCTCCTTTCTGCGGAGCGACTGCTCGCGATCTAATGTTACCATAACAAAGATAAAGGTAAATAAGTGTGCTCATTACAACTGTGTTTCAACTGTCAAATGTGTTAAAATATACATGTGTTCTTTGCATCACGTGACATCAATATACTCGGCAGGATAGCTATAATTTTGCAATGTATATATGATGCAATTAATGATTTAAAACAGTACTCATGAATATCCAAATATTACTGGTAATGTTATTAATAATTAATTGCACTCCTTCCTGTGTGAGTACTGCATACTAAGGGCGACCTCAGACCCAATGCGATCCTTTGCTTAAAAGAGATTGCAGAAGATCGGTTACATACTGTACATACTAATGTCATGTTCATCTTGTTTTAATACATCAGACAACACCAGCCTGCAGCTAGAGTGGCAATTAAAGCAACAAAATTGTTCTTCGACGGCATTCGAAAGGATGTAGGGGATCAAAAATTTGCCAAGTTTCTGAACATGGAAGCACTTCAAACCCTTTCATTTGCCATTGATACAACTGCCAGTATGCGCGGTAAGTTTTTTAGTCGTTCTCGATACAGTTTTCAAAAATTTCAGGTGTATAATTGTTTGACAGTTTTAGACGTCGTAATTTTAGGTTTTACTTTGCAACAGATAAGTAATAATATAGAGGCCGTTCGACCCTTATTTTTGCGGTGGTGGAGGTGGTGGAGGTGGTGGAGTGCGGTGGAGTGAGGAGGAGGAGTGAGGGTGAGGTAATTAATATTCATACAATGAGGAGGAGTGAGGAGGAGGGGTGGAGGAAGGGCGGAGTGTGGTGGAGGGAGGTGGTGGAGTTGACGTCACTCATCATTAGCATACGTCATAATTATATGCATTGACGTCACGCGGGCAAGTTTGGACGAGGTCGTGTGAAACTTGCTGACTAAGCATTTTTAGCGTCCCTCCACGAGTGTGATACAATAGAGGGAATAAGATTGATTCGAGTCCCTCACATGGCAAAATTGTTATCGAAATTAATATATAGCAGAGTTGTGGCCGTATCTTTGCTCGGAAAAGATAAATTTCCACAGGTATATTGAAGGATTTTTCGTATGTTTACAAAATTATAGCGAGAATCTGTTCGTCACAAAAGTCAAGACATATTTTAAACAGAACTAAACAGTTACTAAGTTAACATGGTTGTCAACGTCGTTGCTATGGTCAATATTTGCATGTTGTTCAACACTATTTAACAAACCTCCTACATACATATATACTGTTAAGATGACCGAGTCAGATCATAAGAAAGCTTATCAAGAATGCTTGAAGGAAACAACTTTTAGAACAGTTGTATTTGCTATATTTTGCCATAAAAATATTTTTTTTATCAAATATGCGGTCGTTATATACGTTGCTATGTGCTACCAGTCACTGGCGACGCTTGGGCGCATGCATATATAAACGTACAACATAATTGTACACTAATCAGGCGGGCGGAAAGAGCGGGCTTTGCAGGCAAAGCTTGCACAAGATTTCAGTTTTAAAATACATTTATTTCTTCAAAACGTTTTACAAAATTTAGTACGGTCTACTTCTAAGAGCGTAACGTCAAGGTGTTTTTGTTATTTTTAAAGAGTTCTCATATTCTTGTCTATCTTCTGGGGATAACTTTGCTACTTGCTCGGGTTTCATTGGAATATATTTTGGTCTATCGCTCAATAAAAAACGTTCATAATCCTCTCTGGCTTCCGGAGTCATCATTGCCAAATCTTGGGGCCTCCAATCAGCAGAATCTACCAAATTGTGGAAAAAGTTGCGCTTGAGTTTTGGTCGTTCCTCTTCTGTTGGTGGTGGCGTAAGAAATTAGGTTTAGGAGTAGCAGGCACTGGTGGTGCTATCTCAACAGATTCATTGGGTTGTGGCATCTCTGCAGGCGCTTGTGGGATACTTTGAACAGAGGTTTGAAGAATTCCAGGAGAAGAATCCATCTTATTTTTGAATGTCAGAAACCGATTTAGTTGATCAGAATATAATTTTCTTTTTTCTACTGCGCTAAGCTGTGGTGCATCCATAATTTCTTTCATAGTATATCGATATCGTCGGGAATGCCTTGATTAATCTCGATTCCAGGCATCGTTCTCATCATATCAAAATAGGAGGGTTGCCATTGACCATAACACCAAATGATACGTTGAGGAGGTGGACTTATAGTTGTCTGTGCATTCTCCAAGAGAGATTTCACCCATACAGTCTGACCGCTTTGGGTACATGCGCCAATCATACATGTAAATGGGTGTTGCAAAACCGCAGATCCATTAGTCACCATGCGAATGCTGTCGGTTGGTCTTTGATCATGCACTTTTCGTTTGAGTCGACGTAAATTGAACGGTTTAGAGAAATATTTTCCACAGATATGGCACGAATGAGACATGTTTACTCTATGACGAATTGTTAGATAATAAATCTTTCAAATTGAAAACCGAGTTTATATTACACAAAGCCCAGCTAGTATCTCGGAGCCGAGCTCCTTAGACTCGGAGCCGAGCTCCTTAGGCTCGGAGCCGAGCTCCCTAGGCTCGGAGCCGAGCTCCTTAGGCTCGGAGCCGAGCTTCTTTGGCTCGGGGCCGAGCTCCCTAGGCTCGGAGCCGAGCTCCTTAGGTTCGGAGCCGAGCTCCATAGGCTCGGAGCCGAGCTCTTTAGGCTCCGAGCCTAAGGAGCTCGGCTCCGAGCCTAAGGAGCTGGCTCCGAGCCTAAAGAGCTCGGCTCCGAGTCTAAAGAGCTCGGTTCCGAACCTAAGGAACTCGGCTCCGAGCCTAAGGAGCTCGGCTCCAAGCCTAGGGAGCTCGGCCCCGAGCCTAAGACTTTTGCCATTTTCCACCTTGTCGGAAATTTATTTGTTGTAAGAGAAAGATTGAACAAATTTGTTGAAGCTTCATAAATATAAGGACTAGATTATAACATGGCTTCGATCGGACATGAACGAACACAAATTTAGACTTTTCACACATTTTAAAGGTAAGTACATCGCTAAAATTTGTGTAAAATAAGTAAGACACACTTGTTCATCACTTACAACAGGCAGTTCAGCGATCGAGTCCTAGTTAATAGTTCTAGAGGCAAAAGTGTTTTCACATCAAGTCGGCTTAAAACAACACATGCTTGATCAAGTGTTCCATTACAAACCAAAACATTGAGAACGTTTGGAGATTTAAACTGTTACATAGTACTTTTAAGTACTATTGGCTGCTGTTAAAGAATTTACAAAGAGAAATATTTGTTCGTGTATTTAAATTACTTGACGCTCGCTGTCGCTGCTCGAAATTTGTTGGTTTTGACCGCTTTTGCTTCGTGTTTTGGTGTGTTTTTCGCAACAACAAAAAAGATGGAGACTGCAAATGAAACTGTGTTGAAAAAGACAGGAGGAACAACATGTTGTGTACCACTTTGTAAAAGCAACAGCATGAAAAATCTGGACTATTGTCATTCCACCAATTTCCTCGGGAGTCAAGCTTAAAAGAAACATGGCTAAATTTATTAGGTATACAAAAACAACCTTTAAAAGCCACAAAGTCTGCTCACTACATTTTCCTTGCGGCAAGAAAGTATTAAATTTATTACCTATGTCATCATATAGACAAACAAACAACAGCAGTGAAGGTATAAAATGCCCAGGTCCTAAGGCTAAGACAAGCAGTGGTCCAAGTACTCTTCTTGAAACAACAAATGAAAATACGAAAATGAATGAGCTACAGTTAAACTATGATTTAGAAAAAAGTGAACATGATGAGTTAAAACAAAAATATGACGAGTTATCAACCAAATACAAACAGTGTGTACTTCGAATTGAACATGTCATTGCAAGTGATGCAAACTTAAAATTTTACACAAGTTTTCCAAAATTTGCAACTTTTAAAGTATTCTTTGATTATCTACAACCAGCATGTAACTTTCTAATGTACATTGGCTCAAATAAACGGAACATGCATCAGAAACACGAGAGAAACATGGTAGAACAAGGTCACTACCACCAGAACAAGAGCTATACATGATCCTAGTTCGATTAAGATGTGTGCTGTTGGGACTTGACATTGCCAACAGGTTTGGGATTTCACAAGCCCAGTATTCACGCATTGAAACCACCTGGTTGGGTTTTCTTTACCATAGACTAAGGGCCCTTCTTATATGGGCATCACGTGAACATGTTCAACAAACCATGCCACAAGCTTTCAAGGATGCCTATCCAAATACCCGTGTCATTATCGACTGCACTGAGATATATATTGAAATGCCAACATCGTTTAGAAGTCAGTCAGCAACCTATATTCTTCAAATAAAACCACAATACAGCCAAAGGGCTTATTGGAATATCTCCTGCCGGATACCCTACATTTATATCAGAGCTGTATGCGGGGCGGTCAAGTGATAAGCAAGTCACAAGAGATTGTCGTATTCTAAACATGCCAGAACCAGGTGACGATGTCATGGCAGATAGAGGCTTTGATATTGAGGGTGACATGCCAGATGGAGTTAAACTTAATATCCCACCATTTTTAAATGGAGCCCCTCAGCTGTCGGTTAGTGATGAAAATGAGACTAGGAGAATTGCAGCAAAATGTTTTCCCATTGAGTATGGCATCAGAACTGAACAAAGTTTGGGTTATTTGTTCCTATCTAACTCTTTTCCACCCACCATTAATAAACGAAAAGCCTGATTCAGAATAACACTTAGAACACATGTAAACATACTGTAGTTGTAATTTGATAGTTTATTATTCTTTTAATAGTTCAGGATAAATGAATGAAAAGTAAAATGATGTTAGCTTAGGTAACATGTTTTTGTTCCATAACTCATTTTCAAAGTAAATTCTTTCACTAAAAACTTCTTCCATGGTGTAAACTATGAAATCTGCCCATTCTACATTACATGTAGCCATTAGCCGTTGCAACTGGTAGTAATAGGTGTGGTTTTTTTTCAATGTTGGTCCGGGGTTTTCGTCGTTAGCAGGTAGCATAAAAAATGAAGAGTCACTACATGCATCTTCAATTGTCATGTCCTTTTTAGAAAATGGGCATTTGACCTCGCCAATACCGTATGGTTTCTCCTCACTAGGGTCATGCAGGAAACAATCTGGACTCCCACCTAGCCATGGAGCTTCTGCATTAACTACCAACCCACACTGAACACATGCTTTGATACACTGTCCGTCATGGTTACATTTTTCTAAGTATTTTGTAATTACATTTTGTTCATTGCTTTGTCCTCATAGACATGGCTTTGGTGTTTTTGTTTTGCTATTGACAGAAGTAAACTGTTTGGTAAGTATTGACTTTGGAAAAATACTTTCCCTACGTTTCAATACCAACCCAAAATTTGAGGCAGTTAAATGAAGGCGCCTTTCTTCAAATCACAGATTGTTGTCGGACTGCCCTCTTGTGTTGCACTCAGTATTGATAATTTGTTCCTTTGTTTTGAGCAGCTTTTCTTGAACAAATGGTACATGCTGTGGGCATGGTATATGCTTACACACTTCCGGAAAATTTGGATGGGTTATTCCATTCAGTATTGAATCTCTTATTTCTACATTAAACAATTGACCCGCACTCTGCAGGGCTTCGGTGAATTTCTTTTTTGAAGGTAATTCTGCCAGAAATTCATTGTAGTCATAAGGTCGACAATTGTCTGATTCTAGTAGGTTTTCAAAATAGTTGCATGTTCCTATAGTTTTTAATCCGTCCTTAAGTTTTTTAATGTCAGTATCAGTCACATTTCTTGCAAAAGCGGCAGCTGGGTTGTTTGCATTATTAGTATTATAACATTTCCTTGTTGAAGTTGCCTTGCTAAATTTGATATAATCAAAAAGTACAGCAGTTTTAAGATCCTCACTTGCTGGTACATGCCACTGTTGCAGTAGCTGTGTACATGTTAAGTCATCTGGGACTTCATTTAGTTCAAGCTGAATAAAGTCCAGAATTTGGTAAAGTAATGCAGCTACATGCTTGCATAAACCACCCTGTCCTGCTACACAAGAGCAACTTGCAGTTGACACTTTTCCTGTATCCTGGTGAAAGTGGACATATACAGTATATTGCACCTTTTTTTTGCACATCGCATTTAACAAGAAAGAAACGCTCAGTTCCTTTTAAAATGTCTGGCTTAACTTGTAATTTGGTAACCATATTTTCTTTAAAAAGCTGGTAGCCATATTTCTTATGCTTGTGTGTATTTGGTGGTTTACCTTGTTTCCTCGAAGTATCAGTAATTAAATACTGTTTTAGTAGCTCATGTGTGAAAGGAGGAATGCTTCTGAGGTTCCTCGTCCATTCTCTGCATTGACCAGTATATATATTATCTGTTTAATTTGCTCCATTACGTTGTAAAAAAATGCACCAAAACGTGAAGTAAAAGGAGTATAAACAGCAAACAGAAACACACGAACAAATAGTTTCTTTTTTAATTCTTCACCGAACAGTGAACAGCAGCCAATAGTACTTAAAAGTACTGTGTAACAGTTTAAATCTTTGAAAATGAAAAAGCCGATACTTTGAATGGATAGTTTTCGCGCCAAACGTCCTCAATGTTTGGTTTGTAATGGAACACTTGATCAAGCATGTGTTGTTTTAAGCCGACTTGATGTGAAAACACTTTTGCCTTTAGAACTATTAACTAGGACTCGATCGCTGAACTGCCTGTTGTAAGTGATGAACAAGTGTGTCTTACTTATTTTAAACAAATTTTAGCGATGTACTTACCTTTAAAATGTGTGAAAAGTCTAAATTTGTGTTCGTTCATGTCGGATCGAAGCCATGTTCGCCCTCGCCCGGGCCGATCGTCATGTGAAATATCTCAAAATCAATGACTCTTAGAGACCCCATGTTAGACTATAGACTAAAACAAACATCACAGAATGTCGGAAAGCTTTTATTGAGGAGTAAACGAAAATATTACTCGTGTAAATTTCATCTATTGACCACGCACGCATATGCAAAGTGAACAGCCGCCATCATGCAAATTCTGCCGTGATAACTAAACTACCATGATGCTTTGCGTTAGCGCAAGTGACGAAAATGTTTTAAAAACAGGATTAGATCTTTTCTTCCCCTTAAAAACAGTGAAGTTGCATGATAAAGACAAACCCTGGGTAACACCTGAGTTTAAGAAGATTATTCTAAGTAGGCAAAAAGCTTACCATGATGGGAAAATCGAACAGTACCACTAGGCACTACCTTCGTAACCTTTCACATAGACAATGTGCAAAACTTAGATCTGCCTACCTCCGAAAGATGATGGACCAGCTGAAATCGAATCCTAACCCTAAAAAGTTGTGGGAGTGCATTAAACAACTTGGAGGATACCCAAAGGCAAACAAAAAGGTTTTCTCCTCCCTAGTTTGCGATGATGAGATCATCAACGGAGAAGTCCTAGCTATTAAAATTAACGATGCCTTTACCGCAACTACTCAAGAAATGTCCCCCTTGAAACAACCCCCCACTGAGACTCAGATCGAAAGTAGTCAATATCTTACCCTCCCTGAGTATATCCCACCTCACTGTAACAGTAACCTTCAAGACCTAGTGGCCTATATATTTATAACTGGACTATCGCAACAATATGAAGCTCAACGTAGAAAACGTAAAGAAATGGTCATTGACTTTTCCAAAGAAAAACGGAACTTTACGCCTCTACTGATCAACGACGTACCAGTGAAACGCGTAGAATCAACTCGCATCCTCGGAACTACCTTTCAAGATAATATGAATTGGAACGACCACATACACCAAATTGTTAGGAAAGCTGTACATGCTTCGGATCTTAAAAAGATCGAACGCCAATTTGAAGATATTGCTCACGGTTTTCACTTCCATCATAAGACCTGTTTTAGAATATGCCTGCCAAGTTTGGCATTTTAATATTCAACAATACATAAGTAACAGTAAAGTTTCAAACATCTGATCTGTAAAACTTCGTTAGATTATGACACGAGGTCAAAATGTAAATATAAAAACTTTTTATGTAAAACGGACAGGGCCGTCGCGAACGGGGGGGTGTGGGGGGTGCTTCACCCCCCCCCAATAATTTTCGCAAGTCGGCCCCAGTCGGCAAATTGCTTCGTTACTGTTCGGCAAATTGCGAAATCGGCATTCAGCAAATTGTAAAAGTTAAGAACGAAGGCGATAAATAAAGCGATAAATTTGGGATTTAAAATAATGGTTTGTGTGGCCTTATGTCAAAACCATTTAAATGTATTTCTATTTTCTAGTAATACTATTAGTTTTTATTTGTCGAAAATCGACGGGAGGCTGAAATGTGAAACCCACGTTTCCGGGCATGTAAAATATGTTCTTCGCTCGACTGCTCTTATAGCGGAAGCTCTTTATTAATTATGCGCGGTTCAAAACCCAAAAGAAAAATAATAAAACTTCAGTGTCTTGAATGTAATTCGATTTTTGACGACTATAGAAACTTTATTATTTATTTCACAAGGGAAAACGTATTAACCATAAAAGTTATCTAACATACGGCCCGACGATTACCGTAAGATCGAGGCTCGAGCAAACTTGCCATAAGGGAAACCGAGTGCGAGTAGCACATAAAGACGTACGAGCTAATCCGTTTGAGACTGCAAAGCGCAGTCAAAGCCAAAGAGAATATTTTGAGTCGTCAGAGGCGCAAGATCCTCAAGAAGACTCCACAGGCACATGAGAAGAAGACCAAGAGAAAGACGAGCCATGCCGTAAGAACGGACTTTTCTTCTTTAGTTCTTTAGCGAAATTACTGTTAACTCGAGGATCAACCCACAGTTTTGAAAGACATACCGCATACAGCGATCGGTATCATCGGTTGCATATGATCATATCCGTTTTACTCGCTTTCAGACGCATAAAATTTAAACTCTTGGAAAATCGGGTCGTACAAAAACCCAGTTAACACTAACTAAGAGTTTTAATTAAGACTGCTCAAAATACAAAAAATATTATAAATTGTCTATTCGGCGCCTGGGGATAAAAAAGGTCAAATTCATCAAATTGCCATGAAAATATTGAAACAAAATATCAATGCAATCACATGCAGATACTTGGTTACTCAGACTATATGCACACGGTACCGTTTCACAGCGGTTTTCGGGTTTTGGTTGTAATGCGTTAATTTCTGAAACTGAAAGTACCATTTTCACGTACGTTCTATTCACACGAAAACGTATGAAAACGACGTCAGGAAGCACAAAAACGTTTCAAATATAGTGAAAACGGTGCCAAAGATTCGTTTTCTATGCCTGAAACGTTTGGTGCTATTGGCACTTTGTTATTGTGTAAACAGAGAAGTGGAAGGCGAAAATGAAATTCCGTGTTTGAATTTGGAAACAAAGACTATAAAAAACTAGTGCTTTGTCAGAAAATGTTGCGAGAAAAACGATCAATGTGAACAAGGCGCCTAAACGCTAAATTTGAAAACGCCACTACAAAAACGCTCAAAAACGTGACCCGTGTGCACATAGTTTCAGTCTCGATTTAGGACTTATGAAAACACAGTATAAATTATGTTAATTAAATTTAAATTTTTTTCAGCTTTATATGTTTAATATAAGTAAATTAACATAATACTCCTATCTGAAAATAAACGCACGAAAATAAAATAGCGGTGCTCATCATTGAGCTGTGACCCGATTCCTTTTTAGCAACAACCCATGAACAGGCATCCATTTCAAAACAAGAGCCATATTGGTGTCCCTCAGTTACTCAGTTACTTCTCATTACCTATATCTAACCTTTACAAACTTTTGAAAAACTCGGCAAATTAAACTAGCGTCACTCGGCAATTTGACCTTCGACACCCCCCCAATCCATATCCCTTCGCAACGGCCCTGAAAACGGACAGATTTAAAAACTCGTTTTTACCACGAACTATCTCTAAAGAAAATAGTAAATAGTAAATAGATCTATTGTATTTTAAAATTTTTAAACTTTTAAAACTGTAAACATCAAGGGGTTAATTCTTATTGTACATATAATGTATTTTTATATTGTAAAGACCAATGCAATTTAACCTACGGTTACAATGTCGGTTTATCTTAATAAAATATTTAAAAAAAATTAAAATATAAAAAAAAGCAAATTATATTCTGATCAACTAAATCAGTTTCTGACATTCAAAAATAAGATGGCTCATTCTTCTGCTGGAATTCCTGAAACCTCTGCTCAAAGTATCCCACAAGCGCCTGCAGA